ATGCTCGATGCTCGATGCTCGATGCTCGATCGTGAGGTTGTCAGCGATGTTTTTCTTTCCACGGGGGCCCTTTTCATTAGTCTGAGAACGTCCGTCTTGGCATGCGGCCACCGAGCGCGCGGATGCATCGCAAGCCGATCAGCAGCGCAGTGCCGAAGCGGGCAGGATCGCCGTGGATCGACGCAGCGGCCAGCTTGCAGCTCCGACCTGCTTGGCCCAACTCTACCTTGCCGCAAGGCTCTACCTTTGCCTCGGGCCCTGCCGAGACCAACACTCGCCCTCCAACCCGGAGACTGCACTCGAAGCTTTACGCGCCAAGCCGGCGCCGCACCAAGCAATGTAAGATCGGAAGCTGCTAAATCGTGAGTTAGACTTGTCGGCCGATTCGAGTGCGCTCGGCAACCACCGGATACGTGCCGCGGCCAGGCCGACTTCTTCAATGGCTTGAGCAGGAAGGACCCTTGGGTGCCGCAGTTGCTCCTCACCTCCACGCACCGCACCCATCCAGCCCAAGCATGTCCGCATCCACCGCCAAGCCAGCGGGCGTATACGCCCACCTCCTGCCGCCTTCGTGGAAGGGCAAGATCGCAGAGTGGCTGCAAGAGGACTGCCCCTCGTTCGACTGGGGCGGCTTTGTGGTTGGCGAGGACACCAAGCGCGCCACACTCTTCTGCAAGAGCGAGGGCTGCCTCGCAGGCGTACCGTTCTTCGACGAGGTGTTCCGCCAGCTCGACTGTACCGTCACCTGGCACTACAATGAAGGCGACTGGCTTGGCTCGCCCGACGGCAGTGCGGTCAAGATCGCAGTGGCCACTGTGACCGGCGCGTCGCGCAAGATCCTGCTCGGCGAGCGCGTGGCGCTCAACACGCTCGCGCGGTGCTCCGGTATCGCCACCGCCTCGGCACGTTTCTTGGCCAAGGCGAGGAACGCCGGCTATACGGGCATCGTCGCGGGCACGCGCAAGACGACACCCGGATTCAGGGACGTGGAAAAGTACGGCATGCTCGTCGGAGGCGTCGACATGCACAGGTACGACCTCAGCAGCATGGTCATGCTCAAGGACAACCACATCTGGTCTACTGGATCTGTCACCAACGCCGTGCACGCCGCAAGGTCCGCGTGCGGCTTCTCGCTCAAGATCGACGTCGAGGTGCAGAGCTACGCCGAGGCCGTCGAGGCCATCACCGCGGGCGCCGACGTGGTCATGCTCGACAACATGGACGGCGACACGCTCATCTCCAACGCCACGCGCCTCAAGGCAGAGTTTGCGGGGAAGCACAAGTTCCTCCTCGAATCGTCCGGCGGCATCGACATCGACAATGTCCAGCAGGGCGGACACGTCGACAATGGTAAGTGCCCGCCACTCATGTACGGTCGTGGTGTGGAAGCTGACTGTTTGGAGTTGGGATCGCAGCTATCGACATTATCTCTACCAGCTCCATCCACCAGTCGACCAAACACGTCGACTTTTCGCTCAAGATCGACCCGTCTTCGTAGATGCATTCGACAATCGCAATCGCAATCGCAAAGGCAAAGCATCATCGGATCGATTCGGGCTGTGTGCATCGGCCTTCCCGACGCCACATGACACGCGCGCGAACCAGTCGGCTTGCTTCCGACGTGTCTGTGTGAAGCCAAGTGGGGGTATATAACCCACGCGAACGGCTTCGAGTTTCCCAGTGGCGGCCCACTTTATTATTGCTTCGTGATGAGCGCGCTGCGGGACAGCGAGCGCGCGCCCGTGCTGGCGCGCATTGATGCGCTCGTCGCCGACCTGCTCCACCAGCTTGCCGGCCAGCTAGACGCCGTGAACCCTGCGCCTCTGCGTCTCTCGACCACGCGCCTCGCCGAGCCAAGCGAGCACGATGATAGTCTTGCGCAGCGGAAGGTGCGGCCGGTGATGTTCCCCACGCGCGCGTCCAGCGGCGTGCGCCGATTCGGTGAGTTCCCCCGCTTTCGCACTCATGTTTTCCAATGCAGCGCTGTACTGACTCGCGGTGGGGTACAGCGCAGTACGTGCGGGTGCTCGAGGTGGTACAGGCGAATCTGCTTGCCGGACGTACGATGACCAAGCGGTAAGCACTTTGCGCGCGTCGTTCTCCTGCCGCGTATGCTGACGGTATCGGCGCGCACAGGGACGTCTACTACTCATGCAGCGAGGTGTTTGACACGCAGCGCGCGTCGGACTTGGTGGTGGAGCGACTAGCTCAGCTGCTAGGCTGCACGCGTGGGGCGCTGGGGATCGTCGCCTCGACGCGCGGGCTCGTATCTGGGTCGATGCACCTGCGCTCTCCCGACGGTCGTGCTGTCCACTCTGTTCGTGGCGAGACACAGCGTATACCCGCCGACATGAGCGCCGCATGGTCGGTGCACCCCACCTGCCCCGAGGATTGCCGCGGCCATGTGGTGCTGGTCGTCGAGAAGGCATGCGTCTTCCAGCGCCTACTCGACCTCCAACTCGGTAGCGACTTGATCGTAGTCACGGCGTGCGGATACGCGGATGCAGCCACGCTGGAGCTCGTGCGTCTGCTCGCCGCGGCTCCCTGCCCTGCCGGCGTGCGAGTGTGCGGGCTGTTCGACGGCGACCCGTACGGCGTGGATATCCACATGCACTACTGCGCCGCCACGCCCATCCAGTGGCTGGGCGTCGACGCAGACGAGTTTGACCTCGCGCCCCAGACGCACACCGCGCTGCGCGCCGACGAACGCACAAAGGCAATGCGTCTCCTCCGCCATCCCTCCCCCGTCCGGGAAACGCACAGGTAGGCCATCCCGACCGCTTCCTCACTCAACGATCAACACTCAACTGACGAGCAATCCTGCACAGACGCCGCTTGACATCTACGCTGCTTGACGGATACAAGGTGCAGATCGACGCCGCATACACCTGGACCGGCGGCCTAGGCGCGTATCTCCAGCACAAGCTTCAGCTGTAGCGCGCTTAAAATTGAGCATTTCCATATCCTTGCTGCTTTAGTGTCTGGTCTAGACGCGCGGCACGGTTTCGCGGTCGGGATACTCGAGCGAGGCGTCGATGCCGTTGGCTCGAGTCTTGGCAAACGCGGCGGACTCTTGGTCGTCGTCGTCCCTGCGCTGCGCGCCGGCGTCGTGCGGGCTCTGAATGTTGAACTGCGCATAGTGGGTGCGTTGCTCGCTGTGCTCGGTGTAGGCGTCTTCGCTCGCACCGGCAAGGTGTTCGTTGGGAATGCGCGGCGAGTAGGGTTTGTGGCTCTGCGCATGGCCCAGCGGCGGGTAGTAGAGCTTGTACGACCAGTACGCCACGACCAGTCCGAGCAGCGAGCCGGCGATCACGTCGGTAGCGTGGTGGCGATAGTCCATCGTCCTGCTGATCGCGATGAGCGTGGCAGCCATGAGCGGGGTACCGCATAGCCACGCCGTCACTGCATGGCCTCGACGGTCGAATAAGTGCAGCTTGCCCGCAAGGTACAGCGCCAGATACGTAAAACCGGCAAAGCTCGTACTCGCGTGGCCCGAGGGGAAGCTTCGGAATCCGTCGCGCAACGTCTTGTTGTCCACGCCCACGCTGCAGATGGCGTCGGTCACGAGGCCGTACGGCTCGGCATTGTGCGAACCGGCCAGCGGCTGACATCGATCGATCAGATCGGGGCGAGGTCGCCCGACGGTGCATTTGACGATGGTGGTGATGGTGAGCGTGAGTGCGTTGGCGAGCACAAAGCCTAGGAGGCCGTTGTGGAGGTCCCAGACGGATCTGCTGATGCCGAGCGAGAAGCCGACGATGATTAGTGCGGGAATGAGCACGGCCAGCACGCCGAGCAGCCAGGTAGGCACGCGTTCATGCACGGCATACGTGTGCTGGATCGAGGTGTCCGTGAGCGAGAACTCGCGCCGGAAGCCGTGTACGTCGTTGATGATGGCGAGTAATCCCGCGAGGAGGATGGTGATGATCCAGTCCGGCAGGTACGAGCGCAGCAGCTCCAGTCGGCGTCGGCGCGTCAGGGGCGCGTGCGACGAACTCCAGCGCAGCTGCGAGTAGAGCGACTCGCGCTGCCGACTCGTTCCAGCATGGTCCGTCATTGTGTCTACAGGGGATGGTGGTAGTACAAAGCCAACTTGTGCTGAATGCAAACAAGGGGCAATGCACGCCTAGATGCCTTGAACACAGTCGCGCATCATGCATACCGCTCGTCTTGGCTCGGAGCAAATTCGCAATTCCCGCCTCCCCGCCTCGTACAGAACAAGTCCATTGCCGCTCCACCGCCGCTCTGCGCTCTCTTGGCAACTCGGCAACACACACAGCCTCACGCGACCTCAAACATGGCAACCTCCGACTCTAATTTTTGCCCTCGGACCGCTGAAGCTGCCCGCGCAAGCTGCACAGACCTCCTATCCTCGGGCCGATACAGTATCCCCCTTGCTATCCGAACCTGCGCCGATTCGGCCCGTCCACGGCCCAATGCACACACTGACCTTTCTTTCGCATGCTGTGGGATTGGCAATACGTTGAATGCAGCGACGCTCGCTACGGCTGCACACCGCCTACCTGCTTGCCATTGATGCTGACGCCACCGCCTTGTGCGGTGTATTGGCTCTTTTCGCGCTCGAGCGTCCACATGAGGACGCGGTTGCACGTTACGAGCACATGCCGGAGCGCGCGCGTCCACGTCTCGTCGCTGCCGAACTGGAGCCTGATGCTCGCCTCGCCGATCTTGTCCTTGTTGATGGCGTGCGGGGTCTGGAACGCTGCATCGTGCCTGCCTGCGAACTCGACGACCTGCTTGAGACACGCCAGGAAGCCCGTCTGTGCATGGTCGAAGCGTCGACTCTGCAGCAGCCGTCCGATCTGCCAGTCGGACGAGCCGTACAGCTCGTACACTGCCTTCTCGCCCTCCTCGTCCACCTCCTCGACGTTCGAGTCAATCCTTCCAGGGGCAGCAGGTAGGATGCTGGATGCGGCAGTTGTGGATGAGGCAGAGTACCGATGCGAATGCGTATCTTCGTAGCGGTACACGACACTGAACGAGCCTTTGGGCACGAGGCAGTACCCGCGGAAGCCGACGCCGAGCTTGCGTGCGATCACATCGAGCAGCAGTGCCGTCTGACCCCATGCCGCATTGATCTCGTTCCACTCCACTGCTTGGCCGGGCAGCCTGCCCAATCGAAGCCCGTTGATCGTCGCGATCCCGCCAGAGTGGCCGATACAGAAGGCGTCCGTGTACACGTTGGACGCGCGCAGCCGCGCGAGCAGCTGCCGATCGTGCGCGATCGACATGCCCAACGAGCTCTTCTCGTCCTCAAGCTTGGACAGCGTGAGCGTGTGCGAAGAGTACTGCGACCAGAACCGCTCCTCCTCCTGCTCCAGCGCGCGTTCTTCGATGCGCATCGCCTCGAGTTCCGTCTCGACGGCGAGGCGCGCTGTTTCTGCCTCGTCCAACTCGGCCAGTGCGGTCGCTTCGTCCTCGGCCAGCTGCGCAATCTCCCGCTGCAGCGCCACGCATTCTTTGCGCGCCTCGGATTCGAGCGCGGCCATGTCATCGGCACTGCTCGGACCAGCTTCCGCCGAGGAGGCAGTGGATGATCGCTGCGCAGGCTTGGAGGGCAGAAGCTTGTATCGGCGCAGTTCGGACTCGAAGGCGAGGTACGAGTCGCGCTGGGTGCGCAGCTGCGACATCTGCGCATCCATAATGTCGAGCAACGTGTCGGTGCACGCCTTGCACAGCGGATGGTCGATCACCGTCGCCGAGCCTGTGTCATTCGCATTCGCTTCGGTCGCAGGCGGGTGGGATAGCAAATCAAACAGCGCTGATGACGCCGCGAGTCGTGCAGATAGAGAGTTGGCATCGGCAGTCGACGCTTCCACGCCGTCCGCTTTGGACGCTTCTTGCGCCGGCGCACCTTGGTTCTTGTCGGGTAGCGAGACAGCCCTGGACGTCGGTGCGGGCCGACTGGGTTGTCGAGAGGCGATGAACGAGTCCTGCACAAGGTCATAGGCGGACTGGTTCAGGTCGAGCTCCGAGCCGACGCTGGGGTGGAGCAGCAGCGGCTGCCTGCATCGCTGACAGCTCCACGACATGGTGGCGTGCCAAATGGAAGATTCGGAGCGCCGGTTTGAGATGAGAGCGACAGAAGTGTCACCTGCAGGGCTAGCGCGACATTGCAAAGCAGGAGCAGTATTCGGAGGCGGCGACGCTTTGGGTGATGATGATGTGGTGGTGGTGGTGATGCGAGCCTTGGCTGCGCATGGGCGCCTTCCGATTCAGGGTCCAAAAGCGTTGGCGAGCTGCGCATCGACGCGCCGAAACACGCACGTCTGCCTCCACCTTATTTTTCGCCGACCGCTCAGCAATCCGCTCAGCCAACGTCAAGAACGCACGCACTGTCAAATCGTCGAGACGGGCAAGCAAACATGCGCTCTGAGAAAAGGACAAGAGATGTTGGCCGCGGACATTTGTTCGTGGCTACGTGACAAGAGGCCGCGCAGATGTGGCTGACAAAAGTTACGAGATGCACGTACTACAAGCGCCCGCATACCAGCGTTCAGATGTCTCAAAGCCCGACTGTTGAGGAGGAAAGCGAGCGTGAACACGAAGGAAGGAAGAAAAGAAGGAGGGGGGGGAGGGGGCGGAGTGGTTCAGTGA